CAGTCAAAGACGGGTGTTCAAGGCAGTAGAATAGTTTATGCAATACAATGTATTATACATTATTTGTTTTCTGTATAAATTTAATAAACAGTACGTACTTGTTTGACTATGGGAAAAAAAAAAATATATATACTTGTTTTTATTTTTTACAAAATATATAAAATTTTTTATACTTACTAAATAATTAAAAATTCATTTATCAAGTTTTTTTATATTGAATAGTATAAAGAATTTATTGAATAGATTTTGGCAAATTAATAATCCTTCTATATTATACTTTCTTTTATACTTTTGAAAATATAATATAAGATTAAATATTATCTAAAATAGCAATAAGTTATATAATAGAAACTAATATTATACTATATTTAATCAATTCTAATGATATTTAACTTTAGTTTAATCTTTTTAAATTAAGTTTATAAGCATATATATTTTTGTAATATCTTTTGTATATTTTTTTTAAAGATAAATAAAAAATTTATATTAATAAACTTTAAAAAAAAAATCATATATTTAAATATTTGTTTATAATAAAAAAAAAAATTATCAAATTTGATAGCTTAAACCAATCAAAAGCCTATGGAGTATTTGCTGAAGGATTTAGGAGTCATGCTCTACTTGGCCTAATGGTCTTCAGATTTGGTAGTATATGCTAACTATAAGAACAACTCTTAAAATATTTACTAGAAAGTGTAAAATAGTAAATTCATATGTATCATAATTGCATAAGCCAATAGTAGAAATATAAAAAGGAATCTAATAATAACTAACATATTAAACCATAGTTGGATCTTTATAAAAATTAAAAATATAATACTAGGTAATTTAAAACTGGAAACAGAATTTCTATCTTTTTGATACTTCCCATCTGACATATGGATCCACTCACATGGTGAAGTTGATATTTTGAGATAAAAATACAATAGACTAACATTAACTTAAATGAATATTTAATGTAATAACAGTATTATAATTTAGTAAATAAAGTCTTGTATTTCATACTTATTTATATTTAAAAAAAAAAAAAGATTATCAAAATTATATAGTATATATAAAATGGTTATCAAATTATATATTTAAAAAAAATTCATAAAAATAGTTAATTAATAATTTTATTTTTTTAAAAAATAATTATTTATATATATTGTATAAATATTTCATATCTAATATCTATTTATAAATAATTAAACAATAAAAAATAAGTAAAAAAAAAATTCTTTCCTGATCATGTTTATTTTGCTAAAAATTTTTCTTTTATGGTAATTTTTGTCAAGAAAAAATATTTTACACTCTTTATTGCAAGTGAGCTCTAGTTCAAGAACTCAAGAACTTTCAAAACAACTGATGCAGTGGGATAGGACCTCTGATCAAAGTTTACTCAAGTTTGGAAGTTTTGCTTATTCTTTGGTTGCATGAGGAAAGACCTGTAGCAGTTTTCTTTTCTTTTGCTCTCTTGCATCCCTTCTTTTACCTATCATAATATAAAAACTATCTATATCAATACCATTATACATGCTAAGTCAAATACTTTTCAAAAAACACACTTAAACAGAGTTATTGGGTCTACTGTTTGTTTTAATACAACCTTTATATATAACCTTATTATAGTGACAATTACTGCGCCATTTTAAAATTTCCAAAACTTTTTGTTCAAAAAATCAAAATCAATTTACTCCCTCCAGATAATTATTACTCTCCAATCATCCAATCAGATTTTGTCAAAACAACAAGGAAAAACCAAACCTGTTCAAACTGGTTTTTCAGTATAACAACAATAACAACAACTATAACAACAAACAATGTCACATGTACTCTTCTATCTATGGTAACCAAAGAGTCAAAGAGATGGAACCACGCACCTGTCTGGGGACTTTTTTGGAGAAATAATTGAATTTCTACTTATAGATTTTATAGTCCATTCGATTTAGTTTTAGTTTTAGTTACTATTATTATTTTTTTTTTATTTATTTTATATTCAAAAAATCAAAAGATTTAGCAAAAATTTTGTTGAGTAAGTAGGCATAGCCACTACTCTGCTATTTAATATTTTAATATTGCTTTTGAAATTTTTTTACAATATTAATTAGATAGTGATCAAGTAGGCAAGCTAGCATTTAACTTGTTGTATGCAATACATACCCAAGAGATGTTTCTTTCACAATGTATACCTACAATATACAATAACAAATAAAGAAATGATGTTTACCTACTGGAGAAAACCCCCCCAAAAAAAACAATAAGAAATAAGTGAAAACCAGAAAACTTTAATTAAATTAAAAATTTGTTTTTTAATAATTATATATAATTTAAATGTATAATTTTATAAACCTTGTTTTTTAATTGGTTACATAAAAGAATTTTCTTTTTTATACCTTAACATTCTTTAAAAGTCTACCTATTTAAAAATACTATTAGTTAATTTTTATGGTTTTTTTAGATTTAAACATTACAAATAATAAGAATAATAACATTAACAATTTTAATAAACGACTATATAATTCGCAAGATTCATTTAATATATATCATTTTTGATAAATTCATATTTACAGGCGGTTTCTTTGTGTAATTCTGAACTTAATAGAATGACGCCTAATATTATTTACTAGACCAATCCTAACTTAAGAGAGCGTATCACGATACAAATTTCAATGTGCTAACAAAAAACTGCAATAACGAATTTCCGATTGCATAAAACTTATAATGTGATGGTTTCCTTTTTCAGTTTATCATAATAATGCGTACCAACTAATTTAAACTCTGAAAGTTGATATCCTAATTGTTTCTAAAAAAAAAAAAAAAGAAGTTATATAAGATCTTAACCTTCTCTGAATTAACTAAATAAAAGTATGTTACAAATCAACGCTTACCAACAAATGTGATTGTTCCTCACTCAACTTATCCCCACTACGACAAATAGTAAATTCAGTGGGCATTATTACCATTTGATTATCCACAACTGAAGGTAGTCCTAATTTATTTAACATTGCATTTAAAATGTGTGGTACTGGTTGTCCGTCAATATCTCCACAATATTTAACTAAGCCCGCAGGGATTGTCACAGTCTCGTTTATAATACTTCCAGTTCTCGCAAAATCCTTTCGAATAAAATTGGTCAAATACTCTTTAACAGTTTCTACGGATTCATTTGTACACAAAATTCCAGCTTCGTTTTCAATTACCTTTGAAATTAATTTTTAGAGTGATTAACAATAATTCCGGAGTGAAAAGAGAATGACAGAATACAAAAATACTTTTGTAAATTCAGATAAATTTTCTTCACACTCCGAAGAGTTATCTTCTCCCAATGCCTTCCTAATAAGAGAATTCTTGGTAAAGAATAACCTTTTTTCGTGACATGATTTGTAAAATATTATATGTTACATAAAAACATATAAATAAACCATTTTTCAGAATGACGCCAAATCATATAAAAAGATTTACCTTCCGGTTGTTGCCCAATCCACCCTAACTTGTTGTAAAAACGGGTTCCGCATTTCTCGCGTCTCTATCCTCCATATATAATTGAATTGTCTAACCGCATCTTGAATCTAATGTTATTCGCAAAGAAAAGAAACAATGGAATGTAAATATATTATTAATTAATTGGTTAGATAATTCATATGGACATACTTTTTGAATTGCTATTGATTTATTTTCATGCTTCTTTTTCTTAACCACGGTCAGTGGAACTATATATAAATGAGTTCAAAATTAATGTAAGAAAATAAATTTATCACATATTAATTTTTAATTGTACGTCTTCAAAAGATACCTATTCTCTTCTTTTTTGATTTTGGCATATTTGTAGAGATCCTTCAAAAAAAAAAAAAAAGATACTTTGTTAGACATCTCGTGTAACGTCGCGTTTTGTATTTTATTAAACTTCTGTTTACTGTCATTACATTAATATATACTGTATATATGTATTTAAAGATATTTATTTTTCAACCAGTCCTTGCCTAATATATTTATTTTATTTTTTTTTTTTTCCAATAGGTAAATATTATTTCTTTATTATTATTATTATTATTTGCTTTTAATCAAATTACAATTCTATATATTTATTAATCTTATAAAAACAATAATATATTGTATCCTAAGGCATTATATTAAAGCTAAACTGTGCATATTGAAAATACTCATTAATAAGTTATTTGTAAATTTGTATATAATCTTTGAATCTTTAATATTAAGATTATTATGTTATCTATATAATTTAATTATTTACTAACTATTTCACTATAAGAAAATAAATTTATTAAACTATTACTATATAATATTAACTATCTTAAACTTTTCAAATTTTAACTCTTTAAGTATAATTGTGAAAAATAAAAAAATCATAATTAGTTTTTATTTAAATTATTATTTTAATATAAATATGTAACTTTAAAAAATAAAAATAAAAAGATATTAAAAAGTTTGTTCTAATAAATAAAAATTCTTTAAAACTTATCAGTCTATTAAAAAATAAAACTTCTTAATCTTAAAGAAAAAAAAAATTAATATAAAAAAAAAGAAAAAGATTTTCAAGTTATTTTTAATTAAAAGAATATTATAAATATTTTGTTTTTTTACTTTCTCCAATTATATTATTGTTATTGTATTATATAATAAGAAATACATAAGAAGTATATATTTTGTTTACTTTTTTACTACATGTTAATTAATTAATTTAAGATCTTAATTTTTAACTAAAAATTCTGATATAACAAAAATTTTAATATCAAATTGAAATAAATAAAATTCTTCAAAAATTTTATAAAAATATGTTAATATACTTAAAAAAACTATTGCAAATGTTTAATTAATAAAAAATTATTATTATTATTATTATTATTATTATTATTATTATTATTTTTTAAAGTGCACCAATGATAATTATCAGGCTGAATGTTTATTTCTTATAATGATATTTACATATATATTTAGACATTACTATCTAAGACTATACTATAACATATCAGTTGTCAATTATACCCAATACTTATTGGGATTGCTTCAAATAATAATGTTTGTTATAGCTTGTTTCTAACTATATTAGGTATAGAGACTAATCTATTGGACAAAGGTATTCTTTTATTAAACCAGTAGCATATATTTTCACTAGTAATCAGACAGCTTTATTTCTAACTGGGAAGGAATTAATGGGAAGTTGAAAGGGGCACTAGGAGTAATATCTATAGTAAATAAAGCTATATAATCATTACTTGCTTTATTAGAAATAAATTTCTTTACCATCACTTGCAGCTAGGCTAACCATTTAATTTCTTACCTGTTTAATAATATTCAAAAATGTTTAAGGTACTTATAATTGATACTTACTGCCTGAATACAGACTTATACATTGCAGAGAACAGAACTTATAGCCAGAAGCCTTCTCAGGATAAGTACTGCCAGACCAGTTTATACTGGATTGGAATGAAACTAGATAGGGATCTATATGAAAAATGCTGGATATTAGTAAAAGGATCACCAAATCTACTTGTCAAAAGTAAATATCTTATATATCTTGCAACTTCTGATAATTATTATAATACCAACCAAATAATCATTACATTACAACACCTTTTTTCTAGAAATTACAATCTTAACGTCCATTGAATTAACATATGAAACAGCTTTTCATAAGAAACAATGCTTTTATAGGTTATAGTGCCAGATACCATATTAATTCTATTTAATTGCATTCACATGAGGTTGAACTGGTATCTTGTGATTTGATCTATAGAGTATTAATTACTATACTATGGACTCACAGGTCATAAAAAAAATTATATATTTATATCTACAGATTAAAATATTAGTTTATTTATCTACTTTTGAATAAAAATATTTACTTATAGTAAATCCAAGATTTTTATAAAGCTTGAAAATATATTTATTAGTAAATTTTTCTAAAATTTTAGATTTTAAAGAAAAATAAAAAAAAATATTTTTCAATAAATTTTTTTTCCAATAATATTTTTATTATTAATTCAGAATTAAAAAATTTTTTATATGGAAAATTATTTTTAAAGAAAATAAAAATACTGGATATGATTTTTTTAAACCCAACTTTTAAACATTACATATATAATATAAATTTTAGAATCACATCAAAAAATTTTCAATTTACCTTCAAAAAGAATTATCCATATGTATACTAGTTTTTAATAAATCTATTTATTATATTTTAATTTTGGCTTACAAAGCTATTAAATAAGCAAAAATTATAATAGGAGTATATACTTCTTAGTAAATATTCAAAAGTATTATTTTTCAATTAACATTAGCTATCAAATTTAGAAATTATAATTAATTAAATGAAATACAACTCTAAAATTTTTTATTAAACACTTAAAAGAGTTTTAATTAGCTTAAGCTGTTAAATCTAGGAATATACAATATAATATAAAAGTCTTTGGACTAATTTTTATTTTTAATTTTATTTAATTTTATTTAATTTTTTTTTTAAAGAGCAAATAACTATTATGTTTTATTTTACTATTATAATTTTAGATTTGTGACATATATCTTTTTTTGCTAAAAAGTATTAAATACAAGACTTATAGAAGAGCTACACCCTTAAGTTCTTTGATATCACTTAAAAAATACAGTAAAAATAAATTTAAAATCTATATTATAGTCTTGAATAGTATTTAGCTAACTAAAAATTAATTTGAATATCTAATCATATAAAAATGCTATAGCTACTTTATACAGGTTTACCTTCAAGTTATAAGTAGGACTGGCATGCTTGCTTTTCAAATGTGACTTGATATTCAACAGGTAAAGTAATATTAAAAGTGATTAAGTTGTAATTACCTTTTTATATAAAGGCACTGTAGCCACTTTATATAAGTTTGCTTTCAAGTTATAAGAAGAATTTAGTACATCTATTTTCCAAGTATAGCAAAAATGTTTCATAGGTAGAGTTTTGTTTTGAAGTTTCTTAAAGATGCTGTTACCTAATCTTATACAATAAAACTTATATTGTCAAAAAGTAAATAAAAAACTTTAAACATATGGGTCTATAGTGTAGTGGTTAACATTCCACAGATCAGATCACAAGATACCAGTTCAACCCCAAGTAAAGGCGGTTGAACCATATTAAAAATAGTATCTGGAGCCATAACCTATTGTTATAGTGAAATCATGGTGAGTCAGTCACTTTGATCTGTTTCATGCTGTGTAACGATCAGGCGGTTTTTGCTCAAAAGAGACGTGTGATTTGGCCAAAGTTCATAACGCTAACGCAGATCAGTCCATCAATCTTGTGTCCTTAATGGTTACTTCACGCGCAGCAGTTCCATTAGCTATGTAACACTGGGGTCAATCACAAAGCAATAGTTTATCAAATAAAGATAGTTTTTATTTAACAGTTGCGCAGTACCTATTCTGGTTCTTTT